TATGCGTGAACTGCCATTGTGCTCTGCTTAGGTCGTCTTGTGCGCTTGTTACACTCGCTCCCATGACATCGTCCAGGGCTTGCATCTCTCTCGAATCTGATCCCCAGGGATCCTTGGTCACGCTGGTGAGGCTTATAGTCTTCGCTACCTTCTGTTTCTGGTATTACCGTCGTATTACTGAAGCAAGCTGCCTGAGATATCTGACTTGATTAAGTCGCAGTCTCTTCCAAGGGTTTCCTAGACCAGGAGATATCCACAGCCTTCCCACTGGACTTGATGCCGTGATCTTCGTTGTAGCGCACAGAGACGGTTGCATGCAACATACTGCAGCTTCACGCGATCCAATCATGATCGTCGTCCGCTCTGTTTTTTATCATTCACTAACCTTTGCTTTCAAAGATGTTCGCAACATTACTCACGTGTTCAACTATGATTACCCGAACAACTCGGAGGACTATGTCCACCGCATTGGTCGTACTGGTCGTGCTGGCGCTAACGGAACTGCCATCACCCTTTTCACTACAGAGAGTATGTATATTCATGCCCATTGCTGACTGTCAATTGCTAACAACGACTCAGACTCCAAGCAAGCTCGTGACCTCGTCCAAATTCTTACAGAGTCCAAGCAGCAGATTGACCCCCGTCTTCATGAGATGGCCCGTTACGGCGGTGGCGGCGGCGGTGGTCGCTGGGGAGGTGGCCGTGGCCGTGGAGGAGGCCGCGGCGGCGGTCGTGGTGGTGAGTTTTGTTAGCCCTTATGACAACAAACAGACTCTGATTGGTACATTAGGCTGGACTGGAGGTAACGGTGACCCCGTTCGCAACAGCCGCTGGTAAACATGCTGTCGATGGCGCTCGCTTGTCACGTCATCAGAACGATGAGCATCGATTTCAATCCTTGTTTGGCGTTGGAGGTCGTCATTTCAGACTTGCCATGTTTCCATCCCTTTTCCAAGTGCGGCTGAAAGCCGCTGCACGTTCTCAGGCTCTGTCGTACGCTGATACCCCAAGGACAGGGCTGTGATGTCGGCTTGGCAGAACAGTTCTCCTGCATATTAGACTGGTATAGGTTTCCTTGTTTATGATAGCTGCATGTATGCCGCAGCTGTCCGCAGTCATTTCGTCACGTTGCATTGTGACGCCGGCGTTTATGTTCAGAAAAAAGAAAAGTTTCATCAGGTAATAGTCAATATAGAATGCATTATGTCTATAACAATTCTAGTTTGCCGCCTCATTGTGTTGTGATGAAATGTGTTGCGCGTGGACTACCATTCGAGTCTTAATTAAACTGCTTTCACAAGTTGAAGTTGTTCCAGTCATCCTATATATTTTGTAGAACTTAATTGTTAGTCCATCCGGTACTATTCCTCTGCCTATAACCCTGTGCAGTTGATGTTAAATTTTTCCGTTATTTTCCGCCTTATTTTTTTTGCTCTGCTAGGAAACATATCGAGTTTACTTACAGTAATCTCTAGAAGTAATACTTGTCCCGTGTTCTCCATAAGAGAAGGGGAAAAATACAAATGGATAATATAACTACATATAGTTAGTCAAACATTTACAAAGATTGGGAATTGAAGTACATATTTTTTTGTTTCCAGCAAAGAAGAAGAAGAAGAAAAGAGAGAGAAGAGAAGCGAGTGTATAAATCAAGATATCGGTTCATACACCGGTGTTCTATCAAGAACCGCATGTATGCACATATAACGCATTATCACAGCTGTACTGCAGATTCACCCCCCCTTTCCCTTTTCCCCAGTCCCTGTTTCCCTAAATATTAACGCTACCCAATCCCACATCACCCATGACTACCATTCTAGCCCTCATATTTCCATCTTTCCCCCACCCCCCTTCTTTCTTGTATCTTTTTTTATTTTAAATAGTTACACAGCACTCGCTTTTACCGATCGCTGCGTTGGGAAACCTCCACGAACGTAAAAAAAAACAAAACTACAAGGGTATGTTTGAACGGTAGATTGCGGTGTTGGAGCTAGAAACAGTTATGAATGATATGTGTGCGTATACTAGTTAATCCTCCTGATTGTGGGGGAAGTAAAATTTTTAAAAAAAAAAAAAAAAGGAAAAAGATTCATGTGTGGTAGAGGGGGAGGGGCGGATGATGGTCGTATAAAGGATGTGGATAAATGTGGGTCATGTATTTGGAAAGAGGACAACATGGAGTGGAGTAGAGAAGAAAGGAAAAGTGTGAGTGGATTTACTGCCTGAGATGCGGGTTGAGGTTTTAATGGTGTAGACAAGAGGGGAGGATGTATAGGGTGGGTATGCGTATGGAGGTTGGGGATATGGGATGTGAAAAGGAGGAGTTGGTTGCTGATGTGGGATGCGAGGGATTGCTTTTTTTAAAACTTGGATGTGGGTATGTGGGGAATGTTCGGATACAGTGGGATGTTTGATTTTGGGAGAATATGAGATAGAAGGAGAAGGAAGGATGGAACCAATGTAATTAGGAGACTTTGGATTTTACAATGAAATAAGTGTAATGTTGATTCCTACATGTCGAGATGACACACTTAAAAGAGGAGATAAATATGCTATGCAGTTAGCAGGGACCTGGTATTACAACAATCGCCTGCGTCGTCATGATGGAATTTTGGACACCAAAGTCATATCTACATTTCACGAATGAAGCCGGAATGCAAGGTGCGAATTGCAATTGCATTTATTGTTAATGGGTGTGTTTCCACTACTCTCCCCCATAAATATCACTGTAGGTTTGCTCGTCTTCGCAAGCAATGTAGAGATAATGTGCAACACACAGAGTATCACTTCCTCACCAGACTGCCTGTAGCAGCAAAATATCCCGACAGAATAACTGCATAGTAAATTGGTTCCGTGGAAGCTTCAGAAGAAGCACTCATATGCTCTTGGAAGACAACAAACGGGGGCCGAGGGGATGGACAGTACGCATGAACAGAAAGGGCGACCTCACCACATCTCCGCGGACAAGGGCAATCAAAATGTCGGTGACAAATGATGTTCATACACCTTTCCAAGTAAGGATATTGAAATTGCAGCATGTGCAATGAAACCCCGGAGATTGCGATTGGGCGCATGGAGCAGGATCATGGCGGGGTTGCTAGGGGACGCAATACACACATGAGAAAAGTGAGACATTTCTTACTCTCCTTGGCTTCTGATAGCCCGACTGGGCAAGCATCAGATGTAAGAAACTCTGATCAGAGTCGAGATAAAGTGTAGACTAGGAAAGGTCCGAAGGATACCGGATATCTAGACAATGGCTAGGGAGGGGCAAGGGAGGCCTGCGGATCGGGGGGCGATCGTGACATGGCGCAAACGCTATGAGATCCATGGAGCGGGAGACCTGTCTACACATAAACAAAATAATTGGTCATATTTGTCGGCGAAGGTGGATGAGTATCGCCAGGGTGGGGAGCGTCATGTGCGTTGACATTGTCTTTGAACGTGGAACCTGATCCTGGAAAAGTGTGTACAGGTGTTATCCGCGTGAGAAGACACGTTGATCAGCGTGTGGTGTCGTGCAGTAGCGGGATCGGTCTAATTGTCAACCTGCAGCAGATGATTTGCATGCTTGGCTCTGGATCAACCACTACGTGACCATGGTCTGGAACTCTCTCAACCGTTTTTTGACAATACCAAACAAATAAACTGTATCCCTGTAACTTTGTTATGCTAAGTGCTGCAGGTGCTGCAGTTGTAGCCAGCAATCGACCCATCTATTGTATTTGGTGGGTGCGTCTGCCTTGTTCCATGGGGCAGTTAACGGAAGCCAGTCCGGTTGTCGACAAGCATTCGTGGTCAATGACGGTAGCGTACATCCAAGCTCGGTACCAAAGGTATCACCCTGGCCACAGTCATGTGTTCGAGGCGAGTTGTTAGAACGGTCAAGTTTAGCATCGGATCTAGACACCATGTCCAGATCTATGCCGTGCGCTTCTGTATACGGGGTCAATGAACTTACACATGCGATCTGCAGCACTGGGGCCGGGAGTGTGTAATCCGAACCACCAGACCTAAAGTGTGGATATTACTGCGGCCATTTCCGAGACTGCTGCTTTGGAATTAATTTCAGGAGAAATGACGCGTGTCGACCAGAACAAGGACTTGGTGGTGCAGCTCGATGGTGTCTTGTCATGCACTCCGCATACCTGAGCTGCACTGGATGCGGTTGGTTGACAGATGACCAGGCAATGGGGCCTCGTGTTCAGAGGTGCGTCCTGCTTGTCGACCTGGACCCAAGTTACCACGGTCGAGCGCTAGGTTCGCGCCATCAATCGGCGGGATCAGAGTGGCCATTGAAAGCCGTTTCATCTTGCGATTGTGTAAACTAAAACATAACAAGCTTTATCGATTTTCGCCGGCAGGGTGAGGGGACAATTTCCATGTGTTGGGAACTGTGGATAGCCGACAGAAGCTGTTGCACACGATTCAACCGGATATTCGAGGGTCAAATGTGACGTTGTAACTCTCGAGTGCAGGATGAATCGTGTGGATGCTGTGATCGAGCAACCTGGTGGCCCTTCCATGAGGTGTGTTTCGTGTTTCACTGGGATTCGAACATGGAAGGTTTTGTGTAGGAAATAAAATGAGGCAATTCACACACAGTTCATGACAGGCAGATGGTCATGAAGCCGGTGAGTGAAGACTCAGATGCACTAGTGCTGCACAGTCATGGCTGGAGAGGACAGGGAAGGGCCAGGCGAAAGAAGCTTGCAGCCAAGGTAGCAAGTGACGACAGGGATTAGGCCAAAGACAGCGCGCAGGCCAAGCTCGCCCCAAAGGGATCTGCAAGCTGCAACGTCGGCCATTCTTCGGTCGTTCTGGATGCTGTTTGTGAGGGCGCGCACACACACACACACACACACATAGGCACACAGGTCCTGTACAGTCGTTTATTTGTCAGCCACATCGTGGGTGAAATGGTGTGTGTTTAGACAAGAGGAGAGGGAGGGGTGCAAAGGGTAGCTTGGTGGGGTACACAGGGCTTGGGCTCGACTCCACGGCCTATTGTTGGTGTATCGGATACGACGGCCAGAGGCATTGGGCCCTCTCCAATAAGTGGGCGAGTGTATGCGAGACTATGTCATGACCGAAGATGATACAAGTGGTTGAGGTAGAGGAACACGAGCAAGAGAGGCAATGTTGCCACAGTACCGTGGAAATTGTTGAGCATGTGTCTGTGGCCACGCCTTTGGTGACGTGGTTGTTTGCGGTGACTGGGGGTGTGAGGAGGAAGTCGTGATGATACTGCTGCTGCTCCTGCGTGTTTCTCTCCTGCTGCAGCTGACCAAACGAGGAAGGTGAAGGGAACATGTTGTGGTCGTGGCGTGGCGTGGCGTGGCGCGGAACCTACTCCGACGTTGCACACAATGCATCTCATCTTCATCCGGCACGCCCAATTAATACGACGTCGTATGTATTGGAAGATGACGGCGGTGATGATGATGATGATGATGATGATGATGATGATGATGATGATGATGATGATGAGGATGGCCATGGTGATTATGGTAATGGCAGTATGCGACTAAGCGCTGACGTGCGTCTGTACATGCCATGGTAGTTGTCTAGATTATGTGCAGCTGGGCGTCTAGGCCGTCGACCGTTGGCCATGTACTAAGTAAGGATGTAGCAGTGTACATACACACTTACAGTACCTAAGTTCGTCGACTGTCTGGCCTCACAGCGCCGTCTAGCAACATTACAATAGATAGTCACTTTGCCTACAGTTCAATGCCATGGCCCCATGTCCAATACGGCAAGGATAGTTGGAGTCGGGCTTCTAGTGGAGGAAGAATGCATAGTCGAGGGTGCAAAACAGGGTGGGTAGAGAGGGCATCTAGCCCCCATGTTCCATGTTCCATGTTCCATGTTTGCAACGCGCTGCATGCGTGCGTATCGCGGTCGCTTCCTCATTCTATCGGCGGAAGGTAACCCGCTGGCTGCGCCATGCCGCGTAGTCTATTACGAGGGAAGCGAATAATTTCGGACCTGTACAGGTGATGCGTGTGTGCGTCGGCGTGCAGCAATGACCATGTCTGGATGTTTACCAAGTTGTCCAAGGTCGGCCTTCAAATCGGCTTCCAAATCGGCCATGGTAGCGCCCGCATCGTGACACCTATGGTCTGGTAAACTCCGCGCCTCCGCCAGCCGCCTCTGACACGCCATGACCAAAGGTGCGCGCTTTCGCTTCTTCCAGGGAAGCTCCGTGCATATCTCCGCCACGAGGCATCGCTCGGTCCAACTCGACCTAATGCCACCAATCCTTAAAAAAAGCCACAAGCCATGTTTGGTTCTTCGGGCAGGGGGCGGCCCCTGTCAGTGTCACTCACTCGCTCGACTTGCACCAGCAGAGCGTTCCTGGACACCAGACTGCCAGAGTTTAGCCGCCGTGAGCCCTGGAAATGCATCCTCTTGGCCAGGCTCTAGTTTTTCCTCTGCTCACAACGGTTTTAACATGGCAATGGCTGGGGGTGATTTTTTCTTCTTCAATTCTCATTGCTGTGATACGTCGGCCTATGACTCGCGACCCAGGGACCCCTCTTCATGTATGTCATCAGTTCATACACAAGACGGAAATTGTTGACAAGACCATGCGTGTCTCGTCAGGACGTATTTTTGTCCGCAGGCCAGGCCATGGGTGCGGCCGATACTCGCAAGGTGCCATGATGCTGGCCTGTGGCTGGCATCACACGCACGACTTGGGGGATGACTATGTGCAGTGTATTGCATGCGTTGACATAGAGTGTGTACACAGACATGAAGTTGAGATAGTCTAATGGCGGCGTGGTGTTCGCGTTATGATCGAGGTTACCGCCCGCTCCCGTTCGACGGCGCATGTGCAAATAGTTAGTGGCATCTATTCGTATTCATCCTTGGTCCGATCAGTCTTGGTACTGGACAGCCAATCACATGACAGCTATCCCGACGAGCTTCACTCATGTTGCTTCTGCTCAACAGGTGCTGAGAGAGAGGGCGGGTATTGTCACGCCCTGTTTGCACAACACAAAGCCATCTATGACGACAACACTTGAGTGCATTCAGGCGAATACCATAGGCAGGCAAAGGGGGTGGCTGGTCTGGGTGCTCTCGGATGTTGGCAACCGGGCCAGGTGGGCTTGGGATGGCCGTGGTTAGGCAATGGCACCACATGTACCGTTCAGCCGTTGAATATCTAGATACGTACAAATGCCACACACACACGAGTGCGGTGACATGGCATGTGGCTTGGGGCCGCTAAGGCAGCAGGGACGTTGATCTCAAGAGGGAATGACAGCAGCAAGGGAGGGTGTCGAGACCCGAAGCGAAATAGCAGGGTGGTTTTTGCGGGAATCGAGGCCGAAGCAGTGGTAGAGAAGCAGGAGATGCAGTAGCAGGCAAAACAGCAAGGTTTGCGGAACTGCCAGAGGGTGGGGGCCAGATGCAGCAGAGTCTTGTCTGCTGACAGCAAAACAGGCATGGATGGAGGATGCACAAGGAGAAAACCACGATGCGACAGCGGTATGCTGAAGTTTGCGAAGGCGAAAGCGGGGGTTGGAGGCGAGCGCAAGACGGCCCATGCGACATCTGGAGGGTCGAGGATGGGTTAGTGGATCTGGACATGTGAGATGCCGTGGCTATGATGCCGGGCGCGGCCACCAGAGCATGGGTACTCGGACCTTGCGTCAGTGGATGGGGCAGCAAGTAGTCGGTCAGAGTCAGGTGGAGGTGAGTAGTATGTAGGATATAGGATGTAGGGTGTAGAGGCAAAGACAGAGGCGGCGAGGCTGCGAGGCCCGAGGAGATCTCAACGTCTTGTGGCATCCCGCTGCCGGACGTTGCAAGTTGCTTTTCGCCTTTTGACACACACACACACCTCTCTCTCTCTCACACACACACACACACACGGCAGGCCAGAGGCATGTGCGGTGCGGTGCGGTGCAGTGCGGTCGGGATTCGCTCTCATGGACGCATTGGGCCAGTCCTGCCGGCGGGCGAGGTCTGTGCCATGTCCAATATTTGCATGCAGTCGTTTTGCAGGCCGCTCTTGCCGGGGGGCCCGCAGAAGCCCGCTGGCCGAGTGGTGAAGATTGTCGACGCTGTGATTGCAGATTGTGTGCAGCCGCGAGCGCATTTTTTGCGTTTGGGCATGGGCATGCAGACGAGGTCGGTGGTGTACATGTATAGTAAGTATACTAGGTATGTATATGGGCAGAGTGCTAAGTCGCAGGTGCATGCCATGTAGGTAGTACTGTGTGGCCCGAGGTCCCTCGAGCGTGGGTTTGCCGCGTCTAGCGCGCAGAACTAGCTCTCAGCCTCATGCCATAGCTGCATTCTTCTTTGCACCTCCACCTCGTATGGACGGCGACACACGGGCAGCCCACGCACGTTCACACGCAGGCTGGTATGGATGCGTACGGAAGGAAGGGTGGGTTGCTGAAGGAGGGATCCTGGGTGGATGCACGCACGCACGCACGCGCACTCACGCACACACACACGCACACGCACACGCACACGCACACGACCGGCGTGAAGGCACCGCCATCCTCGGCTCCCTGGCGTAGCGAGAACAAAACGGGGAGCAAAGGGCGGTCAATACGTCAGGATATGGGTTAGTCAGCAGGTGCACGGAACGAGGGCGTGTCGGACTATTTTTCTCACTAGTGCCGCTCCCCTTCTTATCGCCTAACCATCTTTTGTGTTAGTACCCTCTCTAGCCTACGTCGCGAATCTGACCTGCTCAACCACCACTACCACCACCAAACCAAGCAGTGCCTGGTACCAGCCAGTGCCTTGCCCTAACGTTGCCGTCACCCTTACCCCCTTACCCCCTCCCTTCCCACCCCCAGGCCCCCAGGCCGTCCCAAGCATACCAGATCGCGCACCCGCAGTGCGACTACACGTGCAACTGCCACCAAGCAACGCGATCGCCGCCTACCCGGCGCGTTCGTCACTAAGGCGCTCCACGCTCCACTCACTGTTGCTGCTGCACCCTCGCTGCGCTGCTCTGTTTTGCACTGCACTGCACGGCGCTGCACTGCAAACTGCACACCTCTCGTCTGCCCAGTCCCCGGTCTCTTAACCACCCACGAGACCCCTCCAAAGCAGACTTGCACTCCGACTTCTCTCTTCTGCTGCTGTCATCATCATCATCGTCGTCGTCGTCGCTGTTCGCCGCCACTCGCCGACATACGCTCCCTGCCCTCCCCTGCCACACTCGTTGTGCGTACCAAATCTGCACCGAACGCCGCGACAGGAGGCTGATCGCTCGGCACGCTCGGCGCAGTTGAGCAATCTGGGACACGCAGCGACTGGGAGAGAGCCACAGTGTGCGCGAAACCTTCAGTCATCGTTACCACAACGGGCCGACTGTCGCCTTTGCCCCATCGCCGCGCGCGGAGCCAGTCAGCGACGCGCATCCAGAGCGACCTCTTTGGTAGCCGCCTGCACGCCCCTCGGCCAACAGGCCCAACCCAACCCTGGTTTCTTCGTCACTAGCGCACTCCAACCACGGACCCGCACGCCCCCCCTCGCGCACCAGAAGCCCACCCTCACGCTGGCCTGCGTCCCACACTCTGCTCGCCGCGCCATCCTCTCCTCGTGCTAGCCGCTCCACCCGCAGCAGCAGTCATTCCCACTGTTACGGCTCGGCTTTACCGACTAGCACTGCATCCCTGTCATTGCCTTGACGGGCGCGAATTACCTCATCGAGTGTGCTAAGGCCTGCTGGGCAAGCCGCCATTTCTTCCACGCCCCTCGATTGGCCCTCGCCCTCCACGCGCACGCCACTGAGTCTAAAAGCCTTTAGGCCGCGCTCTCACTAGCTGTGTTCCAAATTCACTCTCGCCCCAGCAGACCCGCAGTGCAAGCTCGTCCTTTCACTAGCACCAATTGTGTAACCTTTGCGTTGCACTTCACTTTGCATCGCGCCAGCTGCTCCGCGATTCGAGAGATCTCTGTCCGCTAGCTACCTCCCCTGTCCCGGTGTCCTCGACCTTGCGCCTTCCGTGCATCTCTTTTCGACGGCGCATATTTGCCGAACTGCTTGTCCCTCCACCTGGGCGTCGTGGAAAACACACCGTCTGCAAATCATCCGCGTTTAACTTCCACGCTACCCACGGCCTGACCACTTCGCTTCTCCGGTTTTCTGGCTGTGCATCTCTTGGCCGAACCCAGGCTACGTCTTTATACGCTCTAGCTGCCTGTCTTCCACAGACCGCGGCAAATCATCCGAAGACGGTTCGCGACGGACATATCTCTGCAGCCATTCCTCCCTGTGGGCGCACGCATCCAACCATCCAACCTCAGCTTAGAGTCCGTCCAAGCTACCTTCGACTCTTGACCCCTCTTCACAGTCTATGGACGCACGACAAGCAGACTACCCGCAGTCAGGTTTGAGCTCGCCCTACCCAACCTTTCCTGAACCAGTTTCTGAGGGAACCTCTGCAGATCAAGCATCTGCTGCGCAATACCCTCCCCAAGGACAAGATCCTCGCTCTTCCAACCTCACGCCCAGCTCAGACTACAGTCTGAATCCCTCGTCTGCTCGATCAGGCTCATTCCCCGAATACATTCAGCGTTCGTATCAACCAGCTGCTCAAGGGCAAGCTCCCGGTGGTATGGCGCAACAACAGAGTCCGTCAATGCCTATCCCAGATGGTCAAGCAAATGGCCATCAATCACCACAGCAACTCAAGTCTGACTCGGATGTACCTATAGATCCATCAATCGCCGCCCAGACGAGCCCGACTTACGCCAGTCACCAACAGCAATACTCTCCCTACACACCCCACCACGACATGCAGCACTACCCGGGTCAGCCCCAAACACCCATGGGCTACCCATCGCGCCCTGAATGGGCTGGCCATTACCCTCAGCCAGGCATGCACTACGGCCATCCCGCCTCTTCAGGTCCCCCGGCGCCTGCAATGGTCTCTCCTGTTCAGCGACCACCAACTGTAAGTCGTTTTGTCCCATGTCCCCCACCCCATCCCATCCTAATAAAGGCTCAATACTGACACTGTGCGCGTGCACAGGGCGGACACCCCTTGTCTACAGTTTACTCATTTGTTCCCATTCCCGGCGCACAGCAACACAAGCGACCACGCCGGCGATATGAGGAAATCGAGCGCATGTACAAGTGCGGCTGGAACGGGTGTGAGAAGGCTTACGGTACTCTGAACCACTTGAACGCCCACGTTACCATGCAGTCTCATGGCTCAAAGCGAACACCAGAAGGTGAGTGCTTTTTTTCCCTACTCCGTTTTCGATGGTCAAACACGTCATGGTTGTTGTTGTGGTGGTGGCCCTTGCAAGGCTAGTGCGCTAAGTTAGCACCTGGGATCGTGCTGGTGCAGCGCCATAGTGGTCGCGTTCCCCCCACACTGGTAGCTTCTGACGACGGAAGCTAACAAGTATCGATCCTTGCGCCTTGCTTTCTTGGCACAATAACAATATGTTTGATATATATGCTAACTGAACCTTAACAGAATTCAAGGAAATTCGCAAGGAGTGGAAGGCCAAGAAGAAGGAGGAAGAGGCTGCCCGCAAGGCTGACGAGGAGCGACACCGTGCCGACGCGCAGCAGCGCGCTCACGAGGGTGGTGCCCCCGAAGCTCCCGTCTACGGACAGATGCGACAGTCAGTTGGTGTCCCCGGGCAAGCGCCCCAACATCCTCAACTCCCTCCGATCGGGTATCAGCCTGCCGCCTCTGGCAACACGGCAGCTCCTCAATACGGCACCCAAAGCCCCGGTCTTCCGGAGGGAATGGCTCAGTATGCCACCCCCAACAGCAATGCGTACAACAGTCCCAATAGTAACAGCAGCAGTTATCCACAATCACCCTATGGACAGAACCCTCAAATGTACCAGCAGAACCACTAAACATGGTCTGACAATCGGCGAAAAACGCAACTCAATCGAAGCCAACCTTGCACGACGGTGTATTAAAGGCCATTTCGCTCTTTCTCGGCTACTCGCGCGAGTATATTGACGACTCTCCTTTTCGTGGATGTTCTTCGCGACCGTGTCGCGGCTTCACGCGACAGTCACAGCATCTTTCTCCTTTGGCGGTGCTTGCATTTTCACTTGGCGGCGGCTGTATGTTTTTCTACTTATGGGTGTTTATGAGGGAGATTCAATGAACTATGATGCGCGCAGCATGGCTACGGCCAAAGTACAGATATTTGCGTAAAGAGTTAGTTATGGCTCCAAGGTCGTCTTGCGTGTCATGCCACGACGAGGGCTCTTTTGGGCGGCATGCATGGCACGGTTATACTTTCTTCTTTGATCATATCTTTTGCGCATCTCGGTGACGAGATTTCTCCAAAATTTTCCTAGCTTTTTCTTCTTCTTCAGACTTTCATCATTACGGGCTAGAACAACTGCATGCGAACCGGCGCTCGAAACAGAAACAATTGACCAATCCAAATTTCAACTGCAATGATAGTCCATCACCTTGTCCTTTTGTGTACCCTGTTGCAGTGCTCACTTCACAAAAGCACACATACACAGTGCTGGCTTCTTTGGCGACTTGTGTGCCGCTCTTGTGTTCCTCGTACAAGCAACGTGGAACGAACGAAAGTCGAGGTTATCGAGTCATACGCTCTCAGTCATTGGAGCTTATTGTGAAGCAAATCAGCAGAGCAGCCCATGGCAGCAGTCGCGCTGTCGTGACCCCCAATCTGCTCATCATCACGCAAGTTGGACATGTCGCCGTGCGCATCCTCGACCCCCTGCACATGCTACAGTTGCACGCCTTGAATCTCATGCTTATCACTGTTTTTGCAGCTCTCCCTCCTCCTTCTTTCCCTCTCAGTTATCCGAAGCCCAGGCCAGATAGGCCCGGTTTGGTTTCAAAACAATGATACGCATGTCTGTCTGCCCCTCACCCCCTCTACCAACCCCCCAGTCGACATCGAAACGCATACGCATAGATACAGACACATGTTTTTTATGCAAGCAGCAGGCGAGGCATAGGCCCGACCCAAGGTATTGCTATATAAGACTAGAATCTAGATGTCTAACCGAGTGTGCCCGCGCGTGTTTATGATTTCCGTCTTGACAATGAAGGTTTGACGCTTAAAAGGAAAGGAATAGAGCGAGTCTGTCCCCCTCGCCCCTGCTCGCCGAAATCTCTCGGCTGAATATGCATGCATGGCCTGCACATTCGCTTGCTGGCTCACTCCCTCACGCCTCTCTCCCTCTCCCTCCCTTTCGCTCCTCACCACCCCTCATCCTTGTCTTATAGGCCGCGGCGTAGATCGCCACCATCATCGGACTACGCACCCCTCCCTTTTCTTCCACCCCCCTGCCTTGTCCGCTTCAACCACCACATCACTTGCATGCTTACGAGCTGTCTGCCCTTGCCCCATTCCCTTTTCACTCTTCCGCTCTGCTTTGCGCACCTTGCCACGTATATGCCGCTGTCGCCATAGCACACCTTGTCCCCTTCTTTTCCTATTTTTACTTTTTTGCTTACCGACGCTTAGGCTTTGAGCTGCAAGGGGAAGGAATGCCAGCCCCTCGCAATCCCCCCTCCTCTCTCGTCTATCTTTTTTTTTCGACTGCCCGAGCATTTCGCCGGCGGTCTCGAAGCGAAATATGCTGAAGTCATCTTACCTTTCACTGACCGATGAAATCAGACCACCTTCTTTGTCTCTCTTCATTCGATTAAACAGACATACACCCTTTCCTTGGCTCGCATTCTCTTTTTCTCGCCTTTCCTCCTTCTTGTAACCTTCTTAGTAAGCAAATAAGGTTTGACAGGGAAAGAGAGAGAACGAGCATAACTGCATTTCTCTTTGTCAGACTGCAGTCTATAATGGTCACAGTTACCAGCTTTTCCCCCTCTAGACGGCGACCGTTTACGAGAGAGAAAAACAAACGTTACGAGCAGAATAATTAAAGTCATACGACTTGTGAAGCACGTCAATGCCATTTTCGCTTTTGATTGCATTTTCTCAATAGACATATTTCCCGCGGACCTGATTTGCTGGGCAAGGATACAATGGGCAGAGAATGGTGTCATTTTCTTTGCTTGGGGCGGGTGGGCGTTGCGCAATGACCCAATCAAGCTCGGCATCTCGTTCCTTTGCAAAGGAAAAAAACATGCTTTGTTTGAAAACATGGCGTTCGTGGCACGATCTTCCGAATGGGGCGGAGGAGGGGCTGGGTGCAAGGTGAGTGTGTGTGTGCGCGTACATATGGGTGTGTGTCAATTGAGGGTATGTGCTGTGCGCGTAGTACACCGTACTTGCCCTATGTATGACGCACAGCTGAAGCATGATATGATGGAGGAGGGGCGGCAATGACTCGGATTCGGAATTCTGGGGGCTAACCCATGCATACAAGAGGGTATTCCATATTATACCCGCACACCTGCGTACGCACGTACACATGTTCAGTAAACATGGGTTGCTGGCGACCGAGATGGGAAACTCATGGGACTCGCCAAATCAGGAAGGCGCGTAATGACAGTGTTGTGGTTGATGCGTTATCTTGCCTTCTCATACACCGAGGTGCTGCATATTCGCCTGTCCATCCTGCAGATAGATTAAAATGCTCGCCAACAAGACGTATGCCAACCATCGGTATGCAGATATCGGCCACGGTTGGCGAGTCCTCGGCGCTGTGGAGCATGCAGCAAACAGACAGACAGACAGACTGTGTGTGTGTGTGTGTGTGTGTGTGTGTGTGTGTGTGTCTGTGTGCTGCGACACTTGGCATTGGCTTGACGGCTGATAGGATGACGAGGAATGCATGCTCGCAATATGACGGCACCCGCCGACGCGGAAATCAAAGTGCGGCTTGTTACTCTGTGTAATCAATAACCATTACACAATCAACCTTTCCGAGGCCCGTTTTTTTGTGCGTTCACGTAATTGTTCGCACGGTGGCATCAGCCGACGTGACCGGAGCGATGGGATCGAAGCAAGTCGCCGGCCCAATTTTTCTGTCTTTGCTCATGGGCCAATGCAACGACCACAGCGCGATCTGTATCGGAGTGCGGAGTGGCTTGTCGGCTAACCACTTTTCCTTTCCTTCTTTCTCGCCCCCCGCCGCAGGACGTGCTGGAATGAGCAGGCGGATGGTGATCATATTGGGCAATGTCATCCGAACACACTTGATTCATGACGGCCAGATCGTCCGAAAGCCGATCACGCGGCAAAAGTACGGCAGAGGGAAAGAAGGAAAGAAGGAAAGAATCTGCAAAGCCGAGCTGGGATGACCAGCTCAACAAAGGAACAATGTCGCCGACCTTTTCTCCTTCATGCCCATCCTTCACACACCCTGGTGCTGTTACCTGTCCTTTGCCTAACCCGCCCCGCCCCGCCCCGCCTCCCTATCCCTTTCCCCCCAGAAGAACAGACACAGGTTTTTGTGCAATGTCAGATTGCAAGCCAAAAGCAAGAGCGAACGTAAAAGGTGCCGGATCCGAACAGAGAGATACGCTAGCATCTACAAAACAATTGCATCTGCACGATCGCCTTTTAGCGGCTCATCAACCGTTGCTCGATTAAACTACGATTTTAATGCCCCGGACGGTTGCTGGGCTCTGCGAAAGGCACTTTTTTTGGGGGGGGGGGCCGCCGTTGGAGATGGCGGCTTTTTCAGCTAGGCAGTGGAGCACCAGGCGCTGGGTGGCAGGCATGGTGGACATAAACGGTGCGCCAGGCCATGATCTGACAAAAGGCAACTAGCATAAATGGGCTTGCATGGGCTTGCTATGGTGCTACTGCTGGTCTGAGGGATGGTGGGTAGATCAAGCGCCGTTACACGGCAGTAGTGTTTTTGGGTCGTAGGATTCCTTCCCGATGCCACGAGGGACGAGGGTGTGTTTGTGGATGTGGGCGTGCGCGCGTGCGTCTGGCGCTGTGCTACGGTCGGATGTCTTGCATGCTGAGGTGAGGCCAGCAGGACAAAAGGTGAGCATTACTTACGTACGTACAAACCGCGCAGGGCTTGGTGATGCCACTGTCTGGAATTTCTGGCCACATGATGAGCGACGATTGCTGACTCTGCTCTCTTCCTCCCTCTCTGCTCTCTGCACCACCACACATTTTTTCCCACTCTGGTCAGCTCCTATAGGTGGCATTTACTACCGTTCATGTCCTCACACACGCACAACAGTACATCATCATCCTATGGTCCATGGCTACAATACACTTAGTGTTACTACGACTACGACTACAACTACAACAACCATCGACCAAACACATCCATTAAGAGCCTAGCTTACCATGTATGTTCGGAGTACAAAACCTAGTCACGCAGCCCTCGTAGCACGGAAACAGCCGACGACCAGGCTTACACACATGGTCGTCCTAGTAGAAAGAGAGAGAAAATCTCCGAATCCCGCCGTCTTGGTCCTAATACAGAGAAACACAGAGCCATTAAGAAAAAGCTCCGATGCTTGATGATGTGCATACATGCTCACCGTTTAGAAAAAAAAAGAGACTAAAAGTCGGGATTTGTATGTAGATGGTTAGACTAACAATTCGTACGGCATGGAAATGCCAGCTAGTTTTTAGGTATCAAGGCAAGGTACTCAGAGTAGTTTAAGGGCACCACACAATTGGATAAGGGCAAGGCTCTCTCAAACGGAGAAGACTACTCTACTCTTACTACTCTCACACACACACATGTGTGTGTGTTGCGCTAGTCGGGGGGCGAGCGCGCGAATCCCAAGTCAGTTTGGGAGGCTTTTCCCACCCCTTCCCCCTTTCTACGGTAGTTCTAGTTTACTTTTGTCATCGCGCGCCCACGCCGATGGGTTCAGAAGCCTGGCTGGGGGGTATGGTAAGGGGCGCGCGCACGCGAGGGGGACAAAGGGTTAAAAGGATCGTAAGCCCTACTAGAAGGCGTGCGATGGTGGTGGCCCTGGTCTGGTTTGGCTCTCCCGCGTTATAGTGCTGGTTCCCTCCACCCACCCCCCCTTCCCCCTTTCTCGGCTCCGTAGACTCGGTTGCGACCTTAAGGCAGTAGTGTGGTTCTTCTTTGTTTTCAGCCTTACTGGCGGGTTCCTGGGCGCTTGTCTCTTGGAGTGGTTTTTTTACGGCTACTTAGAGGCGTGGTCACGGCATTTTTTTTGGCGTTAGGACTAAGATTGTTTTTCCGCGCGCGTATAACTTGATGGTCCTTTGAAGACGGCGCGCTGCCGTAGTTGGCGGCAAGGCCTGGCGTTTGTGCTAATGACGCTGGTGCCTGTGGATTGTATGCATGTAATACTGCTAGTAGCCATGAGGCTGCAATACAGAATGATTCCGCAAAGTTTCAGGTCATTGGCCGCTGGATTGGATGATCACGTGCGGCATACTTAGAGTTTGGTTCGGCATTTGTGCCGGACATGGTCAACTTTTCCCTAGCCCAGCCAATTTACGCTTTTTGCTCACAACGGCTCGCTTCCACGCCACCCACGATCTCATGCTGAACTGTCGTGCGTGCCTTTGGCGATGCATACAGGCGCTCGATGTCCCGACCACTAATGCGCACCGCTTGCGCCGCAATGTGAATCCATTTCTCGCAAACAGCCAGCAGCGGCTGCTGTCGACCCGCAATGTCGCACGCCAGGAAGACAAGACACCCACTGACCTGAGCGAGGCCAGAGGACGCTCGAGAAATCGGGAGGATCACTTCAAGAGGTCGGCCTTTGCGGCAAAGCAAAAGAGAACCGAAATCTTGGCACTGCGGCAATCGCATGCGCGCAGAGTCGAAGAAACTCCCAATTTGGCAAAATTGGGCCGGCGCGACCCTCGCATGTCAGAGAGCGACTGGAATAGAAGGAAGAGAGAACTGCGGCATCTGCAGGACCCGCTGGACCTGGCGGCGTTTGTTAAGCAGGAACTGGACAAGGACAGGGTAGAGGAGATGCTGCAGTTGGTGCGCATGGCCAGTCACTCAATGCAATGTATTGTCAGCTGGAACCACATAATCGATCATCTTCTGGCCAAGGAGCGGGTCAAGGATGCACTCAAAGTGTACAACGATGTCCGTCTTGTGAACATGAGCGGCGTGGGACAATGCTGACTTTGAGTAGATGAAAAAACGAGCGCAATTCCCTGATTCCTATACGTATACAATCTTGCTCCGAGGCTTGTCCTTGAACGCGCACACATCAGGTGTTCTTAGCAGTGCCCTTTCCGTATACCACTCTCTCTCCGCACCGAACTCGCGAGTCGAGCCTTCGATCATACATACAAATGCTGCTTTGAGAGTTTGTGCGCGAGCAGGCGATATGGATGCATTATGGGGCGTTGCTGGGAAGATTGCTGAAAGTGGACCAGCGTCGGCGAACGCAATTACCTACATTACCATCATCAACGCCATACGACAGAGTTTGTTGATAAACGCACCGAAAGGGGAGAGCGAAGAGGAAACTGCGGCAAGGAAAGAGCGTGGTATCATAGAAGCACGGCGTATGTGGGAAGATATCATTGGGAGGTGGAGAAATGCAGATCTGGTCATTGACGAAGAACTGGTTTGTGCAATGGGAAGACTTCTGCTAGTAGGCAGCCGGCCGCGAGACTGGGACGATGTGCTTTCTCTGGTGGAACAGACCATGGATATCCCACGACTTGTACCTCGACTGGGCACTGCGGACCGGCGGAAAGCAGGTTTCCCACACTTACGAGCCCCGAACGTACCACCGCAGTACCGCGTCGAGGACGAGCACCTTTCGCCAGACAACACTCCTGTGCGTGGAGACGAATTTCTTCCTCTGAAACCCAAGGGCGCCCTACCGCATTCTCTTGCATATGTTCGACCGGGTAACAATACACTCTCCATCGTTCAGGAAGCTTGCCAGAAGATTGTTGCGAACAAGGCTGCACAAGAGTATTGGGATCTCTTGACCGACCCCGGGGCCTATAAGATTGTGCCGGACCGCAACAACCTACACATGCGCTTGCGGAACCTTCGCCTGAACCGTGCTTCCGCTGATGCCGTTCAACTGTTACAGGAAGACATGATTGGAAAGAATATCGCGCCTCGACCTGGCACGTTTAGGGTTGCCATGAGTACTTGTGTCCGCGACAAGAACAACCACAATTCTCTCAAACATGGCGGCCAGATTTTAAACATGATGTTCAAGACCTTGGAGGATGCAGATCCGAAGACCATTACCATGTATGCGGAGCTCGCAACCAGTTTTCCCCTTGCCAAGGGCTCGGATTTGGTGGACGCACTTACTATTCTCGATCCTATCGCCAAGAACATTCGGCTTCAGCTGGGTGTTGGTGGTAGAGAGAGGAGATACAGGAGGGTTGCGGGCCCCCAGTATTTGGAAGGCGAGGAGAGGCAAGATGGAATCACCGCACTAAGGAAGATCCACGGTGTTTATGACAAGTTGCTGTTTAGCAATCTGATTGCAGAGGAGATGAAGGTTCCGTTCAAGGCGGAGCGAGCACGCCTGTCTGCTTTTATTCAGAGGATATTGTTCAAAGATGGGCATTCCAGATCGAAGGGGAATACCGAGGAGATGACCCCGTCAGAAGAAGAGGATTCACGTGAGAATATCCAGGGAGAGGTAGATCAAGGAGAGATTCAAGAGGGAGAGAAAGAAGATAGCAGACCGGAGTGGAAGAAGCAATGGATGGGACAAATAGAGAGGCCGGTGCGGCGAAAGATGAGAGTCTCGTCGGCTACGACGGACATGTAGGATATGCTACTTATGGGGTTTCTTGAAACGACGGTATGATCCAAAAGTACTTGTACAATATTACTGTATTTCTCTTCATGATTACATATACTTGATATCCAGCAAGATGTTTAGTAGTATGTGAAGATTGCATCGTACCTGTGATGGCACGTGCATGTCCCAAAACTACTCGAACCTCCGCGGCTTTGGCCGCAACTCTCGGCCTCTCGCAAGACATCCAGCATACCATTCCACTACAACAACAACCACACCTTCGTCTAGATATCCAGCATACAGCCAGCAACCATGGGCAACGACGGTGGATCCATTCCCAAACGGCGTGAACTCGTCAAAGAAGCCGCAAAGGCCCTAACAACTGCACAAATCAAAGAGGCGCAAACCGAACAACAAGAATACGCCTGGTCCACCGACCCTCTTACCCGCAAACCGCTCGCCCGCCCCGTGGTATCCGACGCAGCCGGCATCCTCTATAACAAAGACTCCATCATCGAGTACCTCCTCAAAGACGACAGCGATGTCGAAAAAGCTGAGATGAAGAAGATTGGGGGCGTCAAGGACTCCGAGCTAGGCACTTTTGGCGACAGAGTCAAGGGCCTCAAAGACGTCGTCGAAATCAAATTTGAAATCGACACTGCAGCGGAATCTGGCGCGGGCGAAAAGTGGAAGTGCCCGATTACCGGGGAGCGACTGGGCGCGGGAAGTAAAGCCGTGTATATAGTACCTTGTGGCCACGCTTTTGCAGGCAGCGTTATGAAGGAGATTTCAGAGAAGACGTGTTTGACTGTAAGTTTTGCCTGCCAACTTGAGTAACTGACACGAACTTACCTTTCACCCATCTCAGTGCAACGAGCCCTACGCCGAAAACGACGTCGTACCCATCCTTCCCACCGCCCCAACCGACATTGCGCGCCTGAACCTACGCTTGAAAACGCTGCGGGAAAAAGGACTTACGCATGCGCTGAAGAAAGCCCCAGGTAGCAAAAAGAAGCGCAAACACGCTTCTGCCGCCGACGACGACACTCAAGCCACCACCACCACCACCACCACCACCACCAGCGCCCCTACGAAACCCTCCTCTTCCTCCGACGAAGATAAAAAGACCAAACCCAAAGAAAACGGTACTACGGCGAAGGCTGTTTCAGCGAAGAGTGATGGAATTAAGAATAGTGCTACAGCTTCGCTGACAAGAAAAGTGCTGCAAGAGCAGGAAGAAAGGAACAAGCGGCGCAAGATGGCGCAGAATGAGAATGTGAATAGTTTGTTTAGTAAAAAGGAGCATAAGGCTGCGGCGGGGAATAGTGCGGATTTCATGACGAGGGGGTTTAGTATTGGGAAGAAGTGAGTGAGATCGGGCATTTATTGTTTTTGTTTTTGTGTATTATGGGCGTGGAAAAGGGGGAGGCATGTAAATGATTGTTCAAGTAGAAGATTCAAGAGTAATGATACCCTGTGATTTTTCAACATCGCAAGTGGTTCTTCTAACTTTTATGTAAAGGAGTGATGTCTGGTGTCACTGATGGCGTTACATCAAGTACATGTGTACATAGAAATCTATATGGGCTAGCTTTCATATAGGCATTCCTGTATCCTTTCCCTACATTGATAAGCTAGGTAAGCATGGCATCGTGATCCCATTCATCAATCGTAGCCGTAATCTAGACATGTACCTCTCAGATTCCGTGACGCCTGCACGTTCTAACCCCCCCCGAAACAACAGTATCGAAACCCACAAGACACAAAGTGCCGTCTTCTGAATGAGACCGTTCTTACACTACAACCCGTCAACTGTATTCAGGTGCGTCCTTAACACCTAAACTTCCACAGCGCCTTTTGGCGCCTCCTCAGTCTTCAAATCAGACGGAGCCGGCTCCTCAAGAATCTCATCAAAGAGCCCTCCCTCAGGCTCTCTTTCCGTACCAATAACCCTGAGAATCCTCCACGCCCTACGGAACTCATCTCGGATAGCAACGATACCACGATGTGTCACCGTCCTCGCGACATTATGATCAGTCTCAAACGGATCCTCGATAGCAAACAGGTACCGATTGGTAACCTTCTTCTCAGCCGTAATCTTCGTTGTTGCGCTAACCCAGCCTTTACTCTGCTTCGTCACAATACCGCCGGGCGTGCGGAGCGAAAGGACTTCATTTGTCCAGTGGAACTGAGGTGGTCTCGGGTAACCGTAGCCGGATAACGCAGCGAAGTACTGGAAGAAGCCGCGTAGCAAGGCGCCGATTGATTGCGTGTTCTGCGTCAGACGGCCTTCTTGTGCTGCTTTGATGATTTCCTCTTCATTGCCCCAGAAGCGGACTTCGTAGCCTGAGATTTTGGTGTTTTTGAAATATTGCTCTAGAGCGGCTGCGTCGATGGGTAGTGGGACAGTGTGTTGGAGGTTCGGGCATACGGGTGGTGAGGCGATATTGACGAGGTAGTGTAGAACCATGAGAACCCATCCGTACGAGGAAAGGGTACCAGAATAGGCGCTATTGACTTTGCGGCGCTTGGCCCAGGATTTGACGAAGAGGACTATGGGGCGTACGCGAGGATCGGTTAGAGAGTAACAGCGGAGCATGTGAGTGTTGTGGATGCCGAGCGGATTTGCAAAGTTGATGTCGCACTGGATACCGCAACCATCCTTGGGGAAATCCAGGGGACCGACTACCTTCTCCCGCGTCCAAGACTTATCGGAGCGTTGGTTTTGAACCTTTTTGGCTTTATTCTCAGCGCTGTCATTGACAGGTTCATCCGGCTTCGTAGCTGTTTGTGGAGGTGTAGGCTCTGGGGACTCCGTCTTCATTTGAGCCTCGCGCAGGGCTTGAGCTCTTTCTATCAACTCTGCCCAGTTGACCTTCCAATTTGGATCAGAAGATACCGCCAAGTGGGCTGCAGCTTTTATCTCATCGTCGGAATCTTTGATTAGCTTTCGAATAGCAATCATCTCCTCATTATCAGAGGTTTCGAATAGCTTGCGAGCAGTAAACATCAACTCATCATCAGACTGCTTCCATAGCTTTGATCGAGGCACCGAACCCTGTACAGATAGTTCCTGGGGCTGATCCGAGGGAAACTTCTCTTCTTCAGGGAGTTGGTCCCACTTCCCACGTTCCTCAGTAAGAGCTGTGTATAGTTTGTCGGTGGGATGCTGGCAGATTTTCAAAATAGGCACACGCGTTCGTGTAAGGAGCCTGCCACCAAATTTTGCATCAAGCACTGCTCGTTCCAATAACCGTGGAATAGAGCGATCAATTTCAACTTCATGGGCTCTTGCGGGGTCCTTCCAATCTGGTATCACTGCGAGGTCCATGTCTGAGCCGGGAAGCCCAAAGCCAGATGCGAGACTGCCAAAGCCAACAAGAGAGATAGTCGCAATGTCTCCTGAGTATTCCCTGGTGAGCGCTTCCTTCATGATCGTCTCCAACTGCCGTCTGAACTCTTCTTTGGACTCCAACTCAGACCTAGACATCTCAACCTTGGGGATCTCCTCTGCTGCGATCATATCTAGATGTTTGACCTGGGCTTGTGGGTTCTCCTGAGGTTGGTTCATCTGTGTATGATGTGCATACGAAACTTGTGGACGAGCGTCTCCTCGTGGGCGCTGCATAACCCTTGGAGGGTATGCACGCGGGATACCATCTGCACTCTGGTTCCACTGCTGATGATGATGTTGTTGTTGTTGTTGTTGTCCAAATGGCTTTGAGACATGTGATTGGCTGTCTGGGGCCAGACCATTTTGTGACGCGTTGTGGAAATTTGTTGGGGGCTGCTGATGCCGTTGGTTGGGATAGTGTCCTCGTCCGCCTCCCCTGGGTAGAGAACCATTTACGGAGGGGTTCGCGCGCCATCCTTGACTTTGACCCTGATCTTGATTTGGAGCAGAGTGATCATGATAATTACCATCTGCGCCATTGTGGAAGTTCCCACGCCCCCTGCCTCGGCCCCGGCCCCGGCCCCGTCCTCGCCCACGGCCGCGACCTGGTTGAATATCTTGAGTAACTTGCCCAGACATGCTCACATTACCAAGTATCATGTTGCGCAACTGATTTTCCAGTCCAGTAGACTGCGATGAATTCGCCTGCTCCATTCTGTTGAGTTAGTCTAGTCGTTACAGGAAACTCAAATGATGGCTGGATCTAATCTTTGAGCGTTTGCTCGTGACAACAGATGCTTTTTCTGTCCAAAAGGCGAGAAGTGATCCGAGAAGATTTTTAAGGGGGTGACGGTGTGCTTGCGTGTCTTTGAAAGCAGCCGGTGACGCAGTAGATCAACTCCCGCTTTGAATTTTCTTATGGCGGCGGCTGCCGTTCACCGTTTCAGGCACTTGGCCCTCTGGTCAAAGCCACACTTTGGCTCGATGGGTGCCTAGAGTGGAGTGAGAAGTCGATGTCTTTCTTTGTGATCCACATGTGTCTAGGAAATTATGGTCCCGAGACTGTCCCTATTAGTTGGGGAGAGCGCAGACTGGGTGTTGCAATTGATGGTAATTTTGGCGATTGCTAGTCATGGTGTTCACTATATGTTTGGGAGAGCGGAGGCAGGGCTTCGCAGTGAGCGATGGGCTTGGCACGCTAAACGACTAGCGTGGAGCTGTGACGTTCCAACTGCGGTTCGGCCTTGAAGCACGACACTCCTTGGGACAAAGGCAACTTCGTCTCCGGCCAGTCTTTATCTGCCCACCTGCTGCCTTCATTCTTGTCCTCATCCTCAGAACCAGAATTTAATAATGAACGGCGCAATGAATAGAAGCCAGCCGCCTACTGCAGCGCCCGTCGCGCCCGTCGCCTCGAATGGCCAGCAGCCGCTGCAGCAACCGCAGCCATCGCAGCAGCAGATGCCTGTTCGTCGCCGTCGCCCGCGTCCCCAGGCTGATGTCCTGCGAAAACCCCGGCGCCCTTTGCAGAACATCACCAAACCCATGGTGTCTTTGTCGCAGATGAATGAGGCCAGGAAGCCCCCACCAGGCCCGGCCGCTGATGGCACGCATTCCAAAGACGCGCTGCGACAGGAGTATCTCGATCAAGGCGCCACCGTCTTTCCACTTATCGTGAGCCGCAAAGATCTGAAAGAGCTGCGACACCACGTTATGCGCCTGCAGAGCAAGAGCCATGTTGATATTACCGATGAGAAGCAGTTCACTCCGCCCATTAAGCTCCACCGTCGAGATCCCCGCGCGCCTCCTAGTGGTATCGGATCACACTACGAAGAGGAGGATACAAAGGAGGATTTGGAGGAGATAAAGGAGCGCGAGCGCATTGAACAGCAGAAGGAAGAGCGACGCAAAGTACGCGAGGAGAATCAGGCCAAGATCGCCCCTACCGGCATGAAGAAGCCCCCTGCTTTCCACAAGAAGACGGAGCAGAAGTACCGACCCGACGACACTCCAGAAGCAAAGAAGCGGCAGCTGCTACGCTACGAAGAAACATTGCCCTGGCATTTGGAGGACTACGAAAACAAGCAGACATGGGTAGGCACCTACGAATCGGAGCTGTCAGAGACACATGTCATGCTCTCAGCCACACGCCCTGGTGACCCAAATACGGCCATACAAATGGCGCCTATGGAGCGCTGGTACAGATTCAATGTCAAGGGCAAGATTAAGCCAACTAACGACGACGTGGACAAAATCTTGGCCAAGGTCGAGAGTGGTGGACCCAGGTTTTTTGCCGAGCTTGAGAGGCGTCAAGCGCAGCGTATGAAGGCTGAAGATGAGGCGAGGATGTTCAGCGGAGTGCGCACGCGTGTGGGTGGTGGTGCTGATGACGAGGGCCGGATCAAGCGGGAGCGTTTTGACGATGATACGATTGGATTTGTCAAACGGGAAGCTGATGCCGATGATATTGACTTCAACCTTGAAGAAGACTTCGCAGACGACGAAGAAGGACTCAATGGTCTCTTTGAGGGTGAAGAGCAAGACGTCAAAGAAGCAGCAGAGAAGCTGAAGCGTGATCAGCTGCAAGCAGCCCTTTGGGATCGTCCTGACGAGCAGCTGATAGCACAAAAGGAAGAAGAGGAGCGCAGGGCTGCTGAGGAGACGAGAGCCATGGAGAAGATCACGCGCAAGACGCTAGCCAAGCGCGAGAAACAATATGACTATCTCGACAGCGACCCCGAAAATCCATATCTCACCGAGAGCGAGTCGGACACAGACTCTGAGACGGAGCGACAACAAGCAAAGGAAGAGGCAGAGAAGAAAGCAGCTGAGCAGAACGGCAAAGCCCCAGAAGCTGGCAATGTACCGTCTGGTGCATCCACCAAGGGCTCCAACACTCCCTCGGGCAACCACAAGCCTGGGGAACCTAAGAGCAAAAAGCGGCCTGGTTCTCCCAATCTTTCGGAAGCTAGTGG